TCTCCCCTTAGTGTGTGATCTATGTCCAATAATATTACTGCATTTGTTTTACACCTAAAGTCCGCATATGAGGGAGAACATACCATTTTTGGCTTTCTGAGCCTGGCTAACTTTGCTTAAGATGATGTTCTCCAGTTCCATCCATTTACTTGAGAATGATAAGATTTCATTCTTCTTCATGGCTGAGTAAAACTCCATTGACATGATATTATTTAAGAGAATCATCTGGAGGTCTCCTAAATACGATCTTGCTATGTATACCCTACAAAAGAACTTACTAATTTTTGATGAATGATCAAATATTAGTAAACAGAGTCATTCTAGAGCTTAGTAAAGAAGTTTTAAGGACGTCTAGTTTCTCATTTTGTAGGTAAGGGCCCTGCGAACACAACCTCCTCCAGCGTCACATAAATGTATATATCATCAGTAGCAAAGTATGCACCAGAAACCTGAAACCAGAAACCCGAGTGCTGCCCCTGTTGAAAGGGCACTGAGCAGCACAGTAGTCAGTTACAGAGACATAGGCATTAGAAATTTTAGGAGAAAAATGAAGGAAACCAGCATCATTTTAACCTTTCCACCTTGCCTTCAGGATGAGCGAAAAAGAATGTTTACCTTGTCCAAAGTAAAAGTTTAATTAGGTTAAGGATTATGGGACAAAATGATAGCAGGAATCTGATTTTTTTTTTTTTCAAAACATTGGTGAGTTTCCTCCAAACTTTTGGGTATTTACCATGTAAGGGTTTGCTGGTGCATAATTACAGATTCTTACCAAATGTTATCAATCTATGTCCTTTGTTTTCATTTGGGCTGATCCTGTTGTTTCGATGATGTCTCTAGCATACAGGAGATGTAAGAGAGACAGTTTTTTAAAGCAAATTGGTAGTAATATCAGTTTATCTTTCATACTATTTTTTTTCTTTTTCACAAATTTATTTAAAATTGTGAGAAAAAGAACTTTAGATAGATTTATGTACAAAAACTACATCAAGGCAATTTAGGTTTTTCTTTTTAATACTGTCTTTAGCAATACCAAAATATGAAGGCATTATGGCCTATTACATTATAAATATTTAACAATACAATTATTGAAATTCTTTTAGCTTCCTTCATGTCTATATGATCTTAGAACATTTTTCTTACGTAGAGCAAGAGTGTTAATTGACTAGGTTGTTTTGGCAGATAAAACAGTTTGGTGTTGGAGATTATTGCTGAATCATTGTTGTATTTTATGTCTGTAGTCTGAGCTTTATGGAGATAAGTTTCATATATTTCCAGGTGAGAAGATAGTGAGTTTTTACTTAATCTAATATGATTACTCAGTAAAGTATTTTGCAATATATTTATCCCAGAATTATGACTACATTAAAGTCCAGCAGTTACCTCCATGTGTGGATATGCTCATGTCAAGTCTTTGTATCTGTTCCCCAATTGTCTGGCGCCAGTGTAAACATTCTGTTCAAAACCTGCACAGAAATGTTTATATTCTCCTGTCTTCATAGGTTAGCATTACAGAGCAGAAAAAATTCATGGTTCTGGTTCACAGAAATTACTGTTTTGTTACAATGTTCAAGTCTGTTAAAAATCTTCTTGTAAAAGAAAACAGAAGTCCACTCTCCTACTACCAAGGTCATTACTGAACTCAAGATGCCTTCAGTTTAAAAGCACAGAGATGCCATCTAGCAGCCACTGTCAGGAATTTCCTGCCCAGAAAGAGTCTTTTCTGTATGAAAATGGGCAATAAGTGAATTTCTACAAGCTTTTAGATTTTACATTTTTACTTATTGAATGGTGATTTTGGCATACTGCCTACAATTCAGGCATTCCATTACAAATGAAATTAGTTGACATTTCTTTACATAAGCAAAGTAATATACCCATGAGTTTCTCTAAAAGGAACTGGAAACTTGCTAATTAGACTTTAATTAAGGAAAATAATTCAAATTAATTTTCTGAGAAGAAAATCAATATGTCTATATGAAAATACAAATAATTAATTAGCAGTGAATTGCCTCCAGTGGGAAAAAAGTACTAATCTTGTCAATTTCCTAAACTATTAAATGAGAAATAAACAAAGCAAGTGCATGCTGAAAGTAAATTAGTTGTATGAGCAGAGATATTTGGACTTTTATTTAAAAATAAAATTGATTTTCAAGTAACTTACCATAAGATGGTAATACCTGAGCACTTTATAAAATGTCATATGAGATAAGCAAGCATCAGTCACAGGAAAGACATTATAGATGTAAACAAATGGTCTTCCATAAGATAGATTGGTACTGTGGCTAGCAAACAATTTCGGTTTTAGCTAAATTATATATAAGAAACAGTCTGTAAGATTTAGATTAACATTTGTTGTATATAGAATCCTATGCTTTAAAAAAAATCTCTGCTTAATTTTTAGAGCTGTCAGTTTGCCAATTTGTGTATGTCCATGTGTGATTACACATATTTACAATAAAAACAAAGTATAGAAGATAGAATTAATACCTAAAGGAAAATAAACTTACTTTTAAAATTTGGTGGTATATTATAGTCCTAACAAATTAGTACATAAGAAGTACCTGTGTAGAATTTCTGTTCATTAAAGTGTCATCACTTAAATTATTACTTAATTTGCCAAAAAATTGTGGTCTTCTGTGGTACTGTGTTGTTGAATTTTATTTTTCACTTTGACAGACATAATTTGATACATCAATTCTAGTTTTTAAAAAAATTTAAACCCTTAACCTGTATGATAAAAAATGAAATTGAGAAAAGGTAGAATTCACAACTTAATTGGCAATTATTTTGAGAACATATGGTGATATTTGTAATGTTTTGTGCAAGAGATAATATAATTTGGTAACCAAAAATAGTTGGGCAAAACATGTAGAGTAATCTCTATTCACCCTTTTAAAAGCAATATTATGTATACAAATCCAAAACATTTTACTATATTGAAATTACTGGTCATCAAAATCTTAATATTCTATATAATCTCATGTGTGATATGGGACAAAGTATTATTTTTTGTTCCTTGCACACTGTCTTGAAGTATCTAGAAGCTGAGAAGTTTGAAAAGTTGACATATTCCTTTCCTCCTTGGACTTCCAGCTCAGTTGTACCAAACATTCACAGTTCAGTCCACCCAGATTAGAAAGTTTTATATTTATGCAGAAATAGACTCATCAAAACTAGAAAACATCATATTAATCAAAACTGAGTTATTTATTTGGGGAATTCATCTCCATACTTAGCAAAAGGTTTTATATATAAAATGATTATACATAACATGTTTATATATATGTATAATTTTGGAAAGAATGAGGTGTCACCAATGAAGATATTTATGCAATGAATAATTTATGGATATCAGACAAACCAAATCATAAGCACAATTGTTAATGAGGCTCCATATTTCTAAATTTTTAAAGAATGACAAAACTCACTTTAAGTCCAGTGACTTTTCCTGTATTAACTCAGTAACTAATTTTGTTTTTGAGAAATGTCTCACCAAGAATTTTCCAAATGAAATCTGTCAAGGAATGTATTCAAAAGTTTTGACCAAGATCTTATGAGAGTCGTAGTGGAATATGTCACTACAGGTGAGGAGGCATAAAGAAAAGAAGATTTAGAACTATGGAAACAAAATTGACACTTTTGCACTGGTATAAGATGCTCTGAAACTACCCCACTGTATATGTAATATGCCATTCAGTTCACTCAAATGGCATTCAACACTGTGTAAAGCTTCACAATATAGCCATCAAGTATTTCATCAACACAACCATAATTCTAAAATAAAAATATTTTATTTCCATCACATCTCTCTAAATACAAAAAGTGCACAGAAATAATTATGAGTACATATGACATGTCCCTGAGTTTTCACTGTGTTCTCTGTTAGGCCTGGAAATATCAGGACCCCAGCATTTGATTTTGGTTACACCTTGGTTCTATCCAATTATGACAGGAAACTTAATTTGCCTGCGCTACACAGATGATGTTAAGCTTTAAAAACAACTTTAGGGTATTCCAAAATACAGCTTTTAACTGTAATCATTTTCCCAATAGTATCAATCTGCTGTTGGCCAAATAAATAAGTAAAATAATAGATACATTGTAGCTCTTGTTCTTTTTACCAAATGCCTTATTTCTTAGTCCAGATAACTGTGATTTTTTTTAGCATGCTTGAATCCCTGAAATGACCATTCTTTGTCATCGAGACTTTTCTCCTAGATCGCTGAAAATCTTTTGCCATGTCTTTTATCAAAGGACCTTAGCGTTCGCTTTAATTACCAGTACTGGGTAATTTTCAGAGTTCAACAGCTCAGGAGAAGACTCACCCTTCCTATCTCCTCCTTAGTTTGATGGGTTCTCCTTCCCGTTTCTTAACACTGATAATCAGAACTTCCTCGGTGTTCCCTAATTTCCTTAATGAAAAGAAAGAAGCAAACATAGCCCCTTTCCCTCAGCCTCCCGGCCATGGTGGAGCACAGCTCTGCTGCTGTGCCCGGTGGGTTGCAATCAGCATCCCAAATGTTTCGGACACACACCGCAGCACGTCTGCCATGGGGGGTATTATTGACGGGGATCAACTGGAAAACGCTTCCCTGCTTTCCACAAAGAAACGATTCACCATCTCCTCACGCATGTTTATAGATTGCATTGTTTCAGCTACAAACTCTTTGCTTTTCCCGTCCCACTTCGGAAGAGAACAGGAGGCAGTTGGATACCGAATGAGCTAAATCCCCCGGGGAGCCGCATTGCCCGCTGCCCGTGCACAGCATCTTTGCTCCTGGTCCCTCCCCCGTCACACCAGGACCCTAACTCGAGAGGCAATTCCTCCGGTAGTTCACCTTGTTATTTTCCCAGCAGTGCGGAGACCCCAGGCACTGCCAGGTAGCTAGCTCAAAGAGCTACGTCCCCTTGCCGTTTTTTTTTTTTTCTCATATGTATTTGCGTTTTGATCGGTTTGCACATTTATTTCAAACAAAAGTCAAAAATATCGCCCATACCTTGGAAGGATCTAATCCAGCAAGCAAAGACAGCAGCAGGAGGTTGAGAAGGCTGGACGTCGCCTGCATTCTGATCTGGGTTTTTGCCCCTCTTTGCTCTCTTTCCTGTGTCCACTCCGCTCACTGCAGAGACCTTTCCTCGCTCCCTGCCCGTTGCACTTTCTGCCTGCCAGCCAGGGAGAGCAGAGTGGAGGCAGAGGCAGAGGCGGCGGCAGCACAGCACAGCACAGCACAGCACAGCACAGCAGCAGCAGCCGCCCCGGGGACGATCATTCCGCAGGCATCCTCAGCGCGGAGTCCGCCAGCTCCCCGGGGTGGGTCGCGCTGCAGTGGGCGCTGGCCGAGGTGCTGAAGCGCCTCCAGCCAGCGCGCCCAGTCCACGCTCTCCCTAGCTGCTGGAGAGCCAGCCCACCTCAAAAGTTTTGACCCAAGAAAGAGATTAAGGAGAGAGATGGGGAGACCTGAACAACGGATATGACATCACTACAGCTCCTGGGGGCTTTGGGGGGTGATATTTCGCGGGGAATTTGTTAACCAAACAAGGATGGACTCTCCTGCTCCAGTCCAGCATTTGTGGGAAAACTTGAGCCACAGAGTAAAGAGTCAGCTCTATACAGGATTAGGAAACAAACAGTGCGCTGGGACCTTCTGCTGTCATTGACAGAGGACCTGAGGTACCACTTAGTGTTTGAAACAAAGTTTGCAGTGCAGACTCTCAATGTGCATTTTCTATCCAAGGCACACATTAAAAAAATGTATTATAGATGTATTCTTCATTTATAGATGGATATGGTCATTTATGAACACTATTGAAATACTTTTTGTGGTTACGCATTACATATTTATTTAGGGCTGGAGTTCATCTGAAAATGCCATGCAGGAATAAATGAAGGGGCTTCATTATTTTTTTCTTTGAGTGTAAATGGTATATTCCATTAGTGCCCTTCCCCAGATAAAATATCTCTCCCCATACACACATACATACACAGAAATATAGTCTCCCTGTCAGTCTGACTTGTGCTTATGCCTGAGGAAGAATTCAGTGATGGATGAATGATGGAAAGGAAAAAGCGATTATTTCTAAGTCTCCAAATACTTTTGTTTTCCAAAGTTAAAGAAAAAGAAATCTCCACCAAGTTTTTATTGAAAATACTCAGATTTTAAAAGATAGTAATCATGATTAGGATTGAAAAATTTAAGAAAGTTATGATTTTGGAGGATTACAGCATATTACATCTGTTCTTATACTGACACCATAAGTACATATGCATTTGTGCATGATTACTTGATATCTCTTTTCCTAGAAAACATAATGACATGAAGTAAATTAAATCCAAAACTTCCATTTGAAGGAATGGATTGTGCATAACAATGAAATTGCAGAATAATAGGAAGAAGGTGAAATTAGATGGGGTGCTATCAGAATAATGATAACCCTTGGAATTAAAACCACATTCAGAACTTCCCATTATTTTCTAGCAGAAATAGGGAACAAAAGTTTTCACTTGGGGTTTTAGGTAAAACTGAAGTTATTTCTGACACGTTTTGGCATGACTCCCTAAAGCATATTTGTAGCTAACTCTTTTTTTCCTTCTTTTTTTTCTATTTACTTATCTATCTTATGTAGGGTAAAATCAGCCTAGTTTTTCAAGATCCATACAAAATAATTGTTGGAAATTTTATTCTACACTCATGTTAAAATCTTTCATCTGACTGCATTGCTTGAAAATGAATTTGTGAAGTAGTGGTAGTTGAAAGATACAATAAAACAAGTTTATTACCTATTCTCAAAATAGAACTTAATTTTTATGATTTATACTTACACATGCTGTTTTTCACTTACCAAAGTATGTTCTACCATCTTTGTTTTTCACCTCTCAATTAGGCAGTGAAACACACATTTAAGTAAAGGAAGTAGTATTGAAAAGACACACACAAAAAAGGTAATATGAAAGCATAATTGCATCAATGTTATCACTTCAAGTTCGTTAGGTATTCTTGAAATAATAACTATTTTTTCTGGAAAGAAAATTTTCTAATTTTGTACATGGTTCACATATTAATAATTAGAATAAGACTTTTTTATGCATACTGTTTTCCCCTCTGTTTTTCTCTATTTCCTGAAAACAGAGTAACATTTGTAATAAGGAACTAATAAGTAGTAGACAAATTTGGTGAAACTTTGCCAGAAAACCGTGATAGAAGAGGAGGTAATATTTAGAGATTTAAAGTAAGTAATGTATGGTAATTATATTACAAATGAAAACAGATGATCTTAGCATACATACAACCTACTTGCCATAAGAGAAAGATAGTCCTTTGTAGAGTACAATCAAGTTCAGTAATAAATCAAAGCTGTACTAAGCATGCCACTAAAAACACAAAAGCTTTAAGCTAAACAACACAAATTCACCAATACTCTACTACTTCTTTTGAATGTAAAACAATAAAATCACCTAATTTCTCTTAAGTATAAATCTAACTATCTCTTTTAGTTAGTTGTTTATTTTGTAGTAAGGCCCCTCTTATATTTCCATACAATCAATCTGATGACATTGAAGTCATATTGTGCGATATATCTGTGTTTGGCAATCTACAGAGCATTTCTTCTTACATGGAAGAAAGTCTGTGAAGCTCTTTGTGTCTTACATTGGGTAATCAAGAGTTGCGCATTTATAGGAATGAGATAGGGTATTTACTTTTGTTATTCCTGCTATTTCAGATCAGTGACTAGTTCACTTAAAAAAATTATAAAATGTGATGAATAGTATACATTTAGAAATTTTGCATTTTCAGTAGATGGATGAGAAAATATTTGACATTTATGTATTGTGTCAAAGTTAGCTTTTTATGCCTACAAACAGGCACAAAATTGCTCTAAAATTTATATAGCATTACTAAAACTTTAGCTAGTGTTATCTACAGAGTTATGGACAAAAATGAATTTGTGTGCATATATAACACCTAGAACAAAGACTGAAATTAAAAAACCTTGATATTACAAAGTAAATTCTTATTTATATAGTGGGTTATAATGTTGACTGACTGTTATATGTGTCATATCTTATTTTGGTAAGAGACTGAATGATACACCTCTTTCATATGTTTTATGATGCTTCAACATTATGAAGATGTTATATTGTTTTAAAAGTGATGTTTTGATTCCGTCTACCACCTGACATTGAGCAACTTAGTTTAGAATAAAAATGCGAGTTATCCAGCAGGTACTCACTAAAAGCCTTAGGAAATTTTTGTTTTTAGCTTTCATTATTTAAATGAAAAGTGCTGTTCATTTCCCAATGTTCTTTACCTGTCGGCATACTGCCACAATTTTATATTTTGCCTTCTGCTGTTTTACTCACTCTTGTGGTTAACTTTTCTTCCTTTCTAGGTTTTAAACCATTTTCATCTATATTCTTCATAAATTACCCATCGAGATTAACACCCAGATCATTCTCTATTTATTATTGGTTTATTATGGTATTTATTCTCTGTTTGTTCCCCTTTTTAGAATATATTCTATGAAAGATCTTTGTTTGGTGCTCTGTTCTAATCTAAGCATTTGGAACAGTGCCAGGCAACTGGTAGTCTCTTAATAATGATTTAGTTCGTAAATGAATGAATGAGTGAATTTTCCAACTTTGTATACTTAACACACAATATTTACACACTTGTTTCTTAGAGTTCACTATTTATTTATTGGTGGTACTGGGGTTTGAACTCAGGGTCTCACATTTGCTAGGCAGGTGCTCTACCATTTGAGCCACTTGAAAGCCCAACCCTACTTAATTTCCTATAGGCACATAAGACTCACCGTTTAAAACCAATATCATTCCTACGTCATGTGAGTGTGTAGTGTGATTTTCTCCCTATGACAAGGAATGGAAATCACGTTGATTTCTTTCTCATCTGTGTTGCTGCATTCAACGCATCAAAAATCCCATTAATTTTATTTCTAGAGCATCTCTAAATCAACCGACTTCTCCATGTATACCTGGGTCAGGACTTCAGGTCATATCATCTGAATTATTAAAATGGTTTGTTTCCCTTCCTATACAACTAGTTTTTCTTTCATTTCTACTTTCAATTGCAGTTTATAGGTGATTGATGGAAACATTAATCTGGCATGTTTGCATCTCAGATTAACAGCCTCCAATGGCTTCTTAAAATGTCTTACTGGGATTTCTACATGTTCTGTACTTGCCTGCCAATCAAATGTCATTTCTAACCATTGTTTCCCAATAAATTGAATCCATCAGAACCTTCTTTTAGCCTGAACACTATTCTCAGAGTCTTAGTAGTTTTACTTTCACAAGAATAATTCTTGTTCTGATTTTAGTTTCACTATAAACACTACCTCCTCTATAAAGACTTTACTGGACCTCTAATATCTTCTCTCAGGGTGTCTCCTCTCACTAGGTTTCATATCTTGTGGAGACTTTCTCTACACTTCATTATTGCAATATTCACTTGTATAGCTCTATATAGAATATATAGGTCATCAATTGTTGCACATCTAACACTTCCAACATATTGTAGCTCAAAGTAAAATATGTATCTGTCATTAACTCTCTTGATTTTGTGACGATTCTCTCTTGGAGACAAGGTGCTTTAGGATTACACCTGAGCGAATTTCCAAAATGGCCCACTCACATGGCTGCACTTGAAGCTGGCTCTTAGCTAGGAGCTCAGGTGGAACTGGGTGATAACCTACACGTTATCTTGTCTGTGGAGTTTGGTTTTTCATAGCACAGCAGGAAGGTTTAAAGCAATATCTCAGGAGCAATTATTCTAAAAGACCTAGGCAGAAACTACAAGGATTTTTATGGCCTCTGCTCAGAAGTCCCAGAATTCACAGTGTTTGTTGAAGCAATCAACTAAAACTGTTGACAATGAAATATGGGACCAAGAGTTGGTAGAGCAAAAGTTGGAGATTTGAGACCACTTTTTCATTTAGAGCATCTATTATCTGCAGAAGAAGTTACCTACAGAATGAGGAACTTCTTGGGGTTTTTGCTAGTTTCATAGAATTAGGGAAACACAAATTGTGATTACATGTTCTGCTGCCAATGTAAGAGCTCTACTGCCCTTGCCCCATCCTCTTTGGATTGTGATGTCAAAACAGACTAGTCTTCACAGGGACTTTTATGGCCAGCATATGACCTTCTCCATTCCTGACACTGTGTAAAGGTAGCCTCGTCTTACTGTTAACCCTCGACCTCTGACAGAGGTGATTTCTTTTTGATTTTCATTCACACTGTACATATTTATTTCTTTCTATTCTTATTTTAAGAGTAACTTGGGAGAATTTTGTACCTAATGTTTAGCAGGTAACTACAAAATAACTATATTTCAGTCTTGGGAGTAAAGTAGTGTATCAGTAGTTAAAATAACAAAATCAAAAAGTGAATCTGGGGCTGGGATGTAGCTTGGTAGTACAGCGCTTGCCTAGCATGCGTGAGGCCCTGGGTTCGATCCCAGCACCAA